ATTGATAAATAAGTTTAATAAGGAAGTAATTAAAAATTGGTATATATATGAAGTGATTATTATTTAGAATACCTTGTTGAAAAATGAAGGAATAACATCTTTGTTCGAATGTATGATGTACAAAGACAATAATGAACATAAGCATACTCAATAGATGATTGGTGGGATTAAATACAATTGAAAACAGTGATATATAAATATAAATAGTTGGTAAAAAAATTTTATATTGTAAAAATATTCAGAATGGGATAAGTGATTATATAAAGGTATATTGTCATTAAACAGACAATCAAGAATGTAGGGGAATTAGGATTATTGAAAAGAAAAAAAAATCAATTGTAATTGAATATACGTTGTACAATGAAAGTGAGGTATTTAGTTATAGTAGATGGAAAATCTGTGATTGTATATGTAATTGAGAATAAGGATGCAAAAACACTTGTAACCAAATGACATGCTGTATGTAATGGATGAGAATTTTTTTAATGTTTTCTTTAAAATTTAAAAATAAAATAAAAAATTTGCAAAAAAAATGGGGTAATCTCACTTATCAACCTAAAATTTTGGCTCACTTGTGGTCGTAAGTCGAGGACTACCTGCACTGATGGCCTAACCTGGTGGCCACCCATACAGGTTCAACAATACCCAACTGGGGCAGCAGAACTGGCTGGACTTCCGGGAGCTGCACTTCTAGTACAATGGGGGGGGGGGGGGAACCAGATTGGAGAAGGTTGCTCTGCAGTCATCCTTAAAAATATATTTCACAAAATTTTGTAATATGATTTCACCACAAACATCATTTTGCAATTGTAGCCTGAATAACAACGATTGAAAGTAAGACGCCTGGCCTTCTAATCTGAACATGAATTAAACATTAAGGTGGTCAGGGGAGAAGGAGACAGAGAGTGGAGTTAGCAGTATCTTGTCCTTGTTTACTAAGTCCAGCTTTGGTCAAGGAGCTTTGCTCCAAGATAAGGAAGGGCATGTATAATTCCAGAGTTATAAACTTGCTATGAACTGTGGATGAAAAAACTACTATTTCCACACAGTGGGTGAAAAGGGCAAGTGTCTCCAGAAATCAATGCAGTGGCACTGTATTTTTTGTTTCTCAAGACACAGGAAGAAATACTTTATTTTTGGATTTCATCACTCCCAGATTTCAGCTGATTGCACAACAGCCAACAACGTGGTTGTCACAACTTCAATCCTCCTGAAGCATTTCTCTTGGGATCAGAGATTCTTGTGCTCCCACATCTACCATCCAAATTAACTCCATCACCAAAGCAAGCAAAGTCTCTATGACTGAGCTCCAGTCATTTGCACAACACCTGATATGATAGCAGACATGATAGCAGTGTTCCAACACCCCAGGGGCTGCCAAAAAGAAGCGGGAGTCAAGCTACTCTCCAAAGCACTTGAGTGTAGGACAAGAAGCAATGGGTGGAAACTAATCAAGGAGAGAAGCAACTTAGAACTAAGGAGAAATTTTCTGACAGAACAATCAATCAGTGCAATAACTTGCCTCCAGAAGTTGTGAATGCTCCAACGCTGGAAGTTTTAAAGAAAATGTTGGATAACCATTTGTCTGAAACGGTATTTGGTTTCCTGCCTAAGCAGAGGGTTGGACTAGAAGACCTCCAAGGTCCCTTCCAAATTTGTTATTCTGTTCTCTTCTATTCTAAACCTCCTGCTCAATTATCCATTATGGCAGCCAACACTTACCAAGATGGATTTGTCGTGTGATCGCACCGTGGCTCCAAACCATTGGAGAGATTTAAATTCCATTTGCTCTAGCGTCCCATTGAGTTCTTCCGAACGGGATCCTGAAACACAAAGTATAAATGTGGCCTAAATATGCATTTTTAAACATTTCAGTATTCGAGGCACAATTACTTGTCTCTGGTGGGAAAAAAAACTGGTGTTAGTCTCAAGACAAGAAAAAGTTGTTAGGGTTTAAATACTGCACTAAGTTTTCCTTAGCGAAGGTTAATAAATAAACCAAATTAGCTAAGTTCACACAACACAGGGTTAGAAAACATTTGAGCTACAGTTTCTGCTGTGGCTTTTGTTAAACATATGGGTATCTGAGGCCTGGGATCCTGCAAATATTGCACACTAGCACCTTCCATCCCAAGAAAATTGCTGGCTTGAAAAAGAATCAATAAAATAATCCGAACCAAAGCAACCAGCCTCCACCCTAGTATCCTATGATAGACTTCTGCATGAGTTACTAATTTGGCTTTGCTTCCTTAGCTTTTGAGAAATTCTGCCACATCTGGGTATACTAAACCGTTCTGTGCTGAACAGTGCAGAAATACCCAGAGATTATCTCTTGTCTTCCTGCATGATTTAATGCTTCTTCCAAAGACTAAATATTATATGTTCTGTTCAGCAACTCATACAGAAGTTCTATTAATAAGCACTTTCTAAAAGTTCAATTTTTCCAGAAGGCACTCGGCCAATTTTAATTTAGCACTGGGGTGGAGGTGGGGATTGAAGAGGTACCACAGCTGTCAGAAATTCCAAAAACCTTGGCCTAGAAATTCTAAACGATGACCTCGATTTTCCTGATAATTGGTGCCGTTGGTTTCAATCCAGACCTGAAAAGGCATCCCTCTGGCTCTGAATCAGAGAAGTTCACTAATATTCCCACCGCTCAGCGCCAAGGCAACAATCCAGAAGAATACAGCAATGCATCTTGGGGTCTTGGAATAAGACACCAAGTTGTCTTTTTCCTCTCTCTCCCAAAATCTCATTGGAGAGTGAATCCAGTGAATTGCTGCAGGCCAGGTGCAAGCAATCGAAAAAGGGTTACTAGTTATTTTTGGTCTGGAAAGGCCTTTCCACTTCTCTTCCTTCCCTGCCAAAATTTCTGTTTCATTCTATATAATTCTCTCCACTTCCACCCTCCCGCTTTATTCCAGTCACACCGTTGCCTGAAAAGTTTTTTTTTTAAAAAAAAAGAACAAGCAAAACCCTTTCATTGTTTACGATTTCAAAAATCCCACAACCCCTGCTCTGAACAGGACTCCAGAAATTCCTTCACTGTTTATTCACAGAGAGGGAGAGAGAAAAAAAATGTCATAATACCATATTGTTTTCCATTTCTCCTCCCCCCCCCCCAATTTCCCATTGTTTCCCTTTGGCAGGAGAAGGGAGGGCTCAAAGAAGGGCAAAGAATGGTGGAGGAAGTTCTTGCGTCTCAAAAATGCAGACAACCTTCTGCAGATCCCCACCCTGAAACCCACCACCACAATCTTCCTGAGCTGTCTCACATCTACCATTGCTGTAATTCTCCATCGTGAGATCCAAAGAATCCCAAGTCCCTTAAAACCTTTTCGAGACTCCTGTATGAAAAGATTAATTCTTTCCCTACACCGTGCAGGAGAACGGAGGGCAGGCTATGATCTAATCCAGCGATGGTGAACCGATTCAGCACCCAGTGCCCAAACTGGAACGCACATGCATGCCTGTTTTTTGGCCATTTTGTGCCATTTTTCAAGCTATTTCCAGGCTGGTTTGGGGGGCATTTCCAGGTCATTTTTGGGTCCATTTTCGGACAGTTTTCAGGCTGTTTTCTGGTGCTCTGGTGTCTGGCAGTCTGCATGTGCATGCCGGAAACCAGAAAAGCAGCTGGCAACGGCACATGTGCCCACAGAGAGGGCTCTATGTGCCACCTCTGGTACCATAGATTTGCCATCACAGACCTAATCTAACATTCACATCTTGCATCTCTGGAAAAGCTGCCAAGACCACAATAGGGGCTCCCTGACACCTGCCCTGTGCCCCCCCCTTTTAAAAAAACCCGGCTGCATTCACTTAATAACTGTGTTGTTAACAACAGCAGTGATTCACTTAACAACTGTGGCAAGAAAAGACGTAAAATGGGACAGAACCCATTTAACAGAATGTCTCACTTAACAACATAAATTTGGGGCTCAATTGTGGTCGTAAGTACTTTGAGCCATTGCAGCATCCCCACGGTCATGTGATTAAAATTCATGTTTGACAACTGGCAGGTGTTTATGATGGTTGCAGGATCCTGGGGTCATGTGATCGTCTTTTGCCAACCTCCCCGATAGTTTCTAACAAGCAAAGTTAATGGGGGAAACAGGAATCACTTAACAAATACACAACAAATACACTAACAAATTCACTTAACAACCATGGGAAAAAGATCTAAATTGGGTATGGTTCAAATTTTTTTTAAACACCTTGTTTAGCAATGGAAATTCTGGTCCAGCTGTGGTCATAACTTGAGGATTATCTCTGTAGTGGGCCAGTAAGATGCAGCTTGTTTGTTTATTTGCTGTTTATATACAATCCCCTTCAGGATCTCTCTCAATCAAGTCAGTTCACTTATGCAAGATGGAAACAAAAATTAGCATGTATCCTACTAAACTTTTTCAGCAGAAAAATGCAAAAACTGTCAGCATGAAAAATGAGATCAAAACCTCTATGCTAAGAGCATTTATGTTAGGCCATTATTCCATGGCCTTATTGGACTGTTGGGAATTTTGGTGTAATTTGTCAACCCAGGCTCAGTTGACACCACACTTTTGTTACTGTGGGGACACCCAAACTCATCCAGTGAATATTGAATTCAACATTGATTAGATCTTTTCCCTTCACCTAACAAGTTTTCTGGCTATCCTCTTTGCCTGAACACATGTGGACGATTTGGTTTATTTGTTTGTTTGTTTAATAAATGTGTAAGCTTATATGATTAGGTCGGGTTTCCTACTATTAATTGGTTATAGGAGGCCCCAATTAACAGAATAAAAGAGTTGGAGGGGACCTTGGAGTCTTCTAGTCAACCCCCTGCTCAGGCAGGAAACCCAATACCATTTCAGACAAATGGTTATCCAACATCTTCTTTAAAACTTCCAGTGTTGGAGCATTCACAACTTCTGGAGGGAAGTTGTTCCACTGATTAATTATTCTAACTGTCAGGAAATTTCTCCTTAGTTCTAGGTTGCTTCTCTCCTTGATTAGTTTCCATCCTTTGCTTCTTGTCCTGTCTTCAGGTGCTTTGGAAAATAACTTGACCCCAGTGGTGAAATTCAAAAATTTTTACTAGGCATTTTTACTAGATTCTGTAGGCATGGCTTGGTCGGCGTGGCAGGGGAAGAATTCTGCAAAATCCCCATTCCCTCCCCATTCCTGGGGGAGGGATATTGCAAAATCTCCATTCCCACCCCACTCTGGGGCCAGCCAGAGGTGGTTTTTGCCAATTCTCTGAAATATTAAAAATTTCCTCTACCGGTTCTCCAGAATGTCAGAACCTGCTGAATTTCACTCCTGCTTGACTTCCTCTTCTTTATGGTAACCCCTGAGATATTGGAAAACTGCTATCAGGTCACCCCTAAGAAGGGGTGCTGAGGTGGCGCAGTGGTTAAATGCAGCACTGCAGGCTACTTCAGCTGACTGCAGTTCTGCAATTCGGCTGTTCAAATCTCACCGGCTCAGGGTTGACTCAGCCTTCCATCCTTCCGAGGTGGGTAAAATGAGGACCCAGATTGTTGTTGGGGGCGATATGCTGACTCTGTAAACCGCTTAGAGAGCTCTGGCTGAAAGCCCTATGAAGCGGTATATAAGTCTAACTGCTATTGCTATTGCTAAGGATCTTTTCATTAAGCTAGACATACCCAATTCCAGCAACCATTCTTTATAGGTTTTAGCCTCCAGTCCCCTAATAATCTTTGTTGCTCTTCTCTGCACTCTTTGCAGAGTCTTCACATCCTTTTTACATTGTGGTGACCAAAAATTGGATGCAGAATTTCCAAGCGTGGCCTTACCAAGGCATTATAAAGTGGTATTAACACTTCACATGATCTGTTAGATTAATAGAGAAGGTTTAAGTGATAGAGATTTAAATGCCCATTCATTCTTGGGATTTTATTTATTTAAGCTATCAATATGGCCAGTTAACAATGCGTTAAAGTCCACAAAGAAACCAGCAAACAAATATACAGTATGCAATGTGCCAGAACCCACTAAAGATAATGTTTATTATTCAAACCACACAGGTCCTGCTCACCTAACATCCTGCCCACAGTGGTTGGAGAAACAGCCAAGGCTTTCCGAAAGGGTGACTCTTCCTAATTTTAAGCGCTCTTCCAGACACTGCCAACACCAGTTTCATTTTTCAAACTACCCTTATTGTACTGATATTTACCCATTCCAGAATCCAGTTATTCAGTTCCTTCTGGTTCCCTCCCCCCACCCTGCTTTGAGTGATTCTGCCACAAAATTACATCAGTCTACATAAATAAAAAGTCTGCTTCCAACACTGTGAACAGCAGTTGATATATAATACAAATGGAAGGTTGCTTCCAAGATAGAGGGGTGCCTAGATGTTAGCCTAGCTAACCAGTTCCCCGAAATCAGATTCCAATGCTTCCCAAGGCAGTGATCTGTTCTGCAGTCTGGCTGAAATCTGATCTCTATATTTCTGGCCCATCTCCATCGGGGGCTGTCCACGTTAAGGCAACAATGCCAAATGCAGGGAAACTCAGTGCCAGTTGAGGCAGCCAAAAGTCCGGGCTTTAACAAGTGCGTGCGCATGTGCGTGCTTGAGGCATCTAGAATGCTTCTGCTGCACAGAATACATCACGGGCTGAAATACGCAAGTCTCAGCATGTGTAAATTAAAAACAGGCCACTGACAGAGCATTATCTCTGCACTTATTTTATTCCTAGCGCTATGCAGCATTTTGGATTAAAAAACAAAAACGATTGTTTGGAGTGCGCGGGGGCTCTCAGCTAGCCTCCCTCGGCCTGCAAATCAGCCGCATCTTTTCCAGGGATCAGGGGGCCACTTTCCACAGCTGCAGAGGGATTCGGTGGAGACGCTGTTATTTTAAGGAGTCGCCAACAGCCCGAGTATAAGACGCACTTTTTTCCCCTCAAAAAAGAGGGTGCATCTTAGACCCTGAATACAGCATTTTTGGCCTACTGAAACCCCGCCCCCTTTGCAGAAATAAATGTGCAGAGGGTATGGGAGGTTTTCAAAGTGCTCCTGAGGGCTGGGGAGGGCATAAAAGAGCAAAAAATGGGCCATTCCCCCCCCAGCCTCAGGAACACTCTACAAGCCTCCCAAAGCCTCTGCATGCCCCCCCTTTTTTAAAAAAACAGGCCATTTTTGCAAAAAAAAAACAAAAAAAAAAAAACCAGGCTGGTTTTTGCTCGTTTTTGGCTCTTCCAGCACCCAGGAGCACTCTAAGAGCCTCCCAAAGCTCTGCATGCCCCCCCCTTTTTTTTGCAAAAGAAGGACTGTTTTTTGCTCATTTTTGCCCCCCCCAGCCCCCAGGAGCACTGTACAAGCCTTCCAAAACTCTGCATGCCCCTTATTTTTTTGGGCGAGGGGGTGGAAATGAGGCATGCAGGATTTGGGAGGCCTGTGGAATGCAAAAACCTTTTTAAAAAATTTATCAAAATTTTTTGATAAATTATGGTGCATCTTATACTCCGGTGTGTCTTATAGTCCGAAAAATACGGTATGTTCTATGTTTAACCTGAGCTCAGAGTGACACAACGATCTGCCCCTTTCCCATTTCATCTTTACAATACAATACAATATAATAGCAGAGTTGGAAGGGACCTTGGAGGTCTTCTAGTCCAACCCCCTGCCTAGGCAGGAAACCCTATATTGTTTCAGACAAATGGCTATCCAACATCTTCTTAAAGACTTTCACTGTTGGGGCATTCACAACTTCTGGAGGCAAGCTGTTCCACTGATTAATTGTTCTAACTGTCAGGAAATTTCTCCTCAGTTCTAAGTTGCTTCTCTCCTTGATTAGTTTCCACCCATTGCTTCTTGTTCTACCCTCCGGTGCCTTGGAGGATAGTTTGACTTCTTTGTGGCAACCCCTGAGATATTGGAACACTGCTATCATGTCTCCCCTAGTCCTTCTTTTCATTAAACTAGACATACCCAGTTCCTGCAACCGTTCTTCATATGTTTTAGTCTCCAGTCCCCTAATCATCTTTGTTGCTCTTCTCTGCACTCTTTCTAGAGTCTCCACATCTTTTCTACATCATGGCGACCCAAAACTGAATGCAGTATTCCAAGTGTGGCCTTACCAAAGCATTATAAAGTGGTATTAACACTTCACGTGATCTTGATTGAATCTTTACGACACCCCAGTAAGATGGGCCTGAAAGAAAAGGATGAGCCTAATTATCTCAATCATGGGAAGGAGCTGTGACTCTGCAGGGCAGCTATTTGAACTCCCAGTTCAGTCTTTGGCTTCCAGAGACAGAGCTATAATACCTTGGAACTCTATGCCAGTCAGCAGCAACAAGCAAAATGGGATTTGGCACAAATAAAGCAGCTTGACCTATTGGCAGGCAAGAAGAACTTTGATGAATATAACTTTTCAAGCTCAATATTACACTGCATTATAAACTGCCTTTCCAGAGATTGCTTGTTTGTGCTATCCTTGGTCCTAAAAATGACCTGACATCCATTAGGAAAAGTTTTCTTAATCTCACCGACTTTGTGCATGTGTGGGACTTTAACTCCCAGAATTCCCCAGCTCCTGACAGTGAGCTAGCCCTGCAGTACTGCATTCTAACCACTGCGCCATCACAGCTCGATCACATGACCACAAGATGTTGCAAACACTGTAAATATGAGCCAGTTGCCAATGCCCAAATTGCAATCACATGATTGCAAGGGTGATGCGACGGTTGTAACATTGAACCATCATTTTTCTAAGGCGACTGTAACTTTGAACCATCATTAAACGAACAATCATAAGTTGAAGGCCACCTGTACCCTCTTCTGTTTTTGGTATCAGCACAAACAAGGAGAATATCAACAAGTACTATTTTTTCCCTACAAGATGATGGGAGAAACACCATATATGAAAACACTCTGATTTTATTTCTTGATTTTGATCCTTGTGTAAAAATATGAATCTGAACCCCCTCCTTGACAGTTTCCTTCCATTAATCTCTCGCTTAAGGCAGTAAAGTCAGTTAAGGCAAAAATCAGGATCCTGCCATTCAACAATACTTCACCCCCCTCTGAGTTCAACAGGGTCAATCGGTAGCTATTGTTGTTTTTATTACATTAAGCTACCTAGGAAGGAAAAGAGCAGACCTTTGCTGCTAAGCAACCACAGATGGGCAAGAAGAGTGGCATCACACTGAACTTCCTGTTTGCAACTGTTAGTTCACTCAGCTGAGACAGAAAATGAATTGAGAGAATTATACTATTAGGTAAAAGTAAAAAAGTTGAGGTTTGATGTTACTGTCTTACTCCACTGCATCAAAGGGAGTCGGAAGCCAATGCCTTTTCTTTCTTTTTCCCCTTCTTTTCTACACTTTTCCCTTTCCTTTTCCCTCCCCTATCTTTCCCATTATTTGTTTTCGTATTTTTATATTTTATATTATAAGCCAATAAAAAGGGCCACTCGGACAAAAAGAATTGAGAGCAGCCGCCAACGGCTTGTTGCCTTCCAAAGGCAACACGCTAAAATTGTAGTCGAAGATGCTGGGATCTGCATTCAAATACATCAGAAGTGGCATCAGGTTGGGACCGGGTGATACCTTTGTGGATTTTCATTTAATGCTTACTTAGCAAATCTGGCATTAGACTCTGAAGCAGCATATCAGTTGTAGCTGAACACCCAAAATTTCACTGAGGTCTTAACCACAGACCAAACTTCATGCACACCTTCTCCCGAGCTAGAAATGCTTAGGAAGGGAGTCCTAGGCTAATGTTAAACTACAATTCCTGGCATCCCTCACTATCGACTCAGGATGCCTGAATTTATAGTTCAGCAAAATCTGTCGATGTAGGAAAACCACACTGATAAATAAGATCTAAAACAAAAAGAAAATGAGTCTGGGTGGAATGTGAGTTATATCAAGGCCTGGGAGAGGGGTCTCAAACTTGATTTCATTGAGGACCACATCAGGGTTGTGTTTGACCTGGAGTGGGTGTGGATAGGGTGGGCGTGGCCTCCTGAAACCCTCAATTTTCACTTGCTCCATTTTCACTTGCAGAGGCCCTGAGGGCTGGTCCTTCGCTCTTCCAGGATGGTCCCGCGGGCCAGATCTAAGCACTCTGCAGGAGGGATGCGGTCTGCAGGCCTTGAGTTCGACACCCCTGGTCTAGGATATTGAACTGCAAACTTAGACGGAAGAACAGGCAGGTAGCTAGCCTTCCCCCTGAGATCAACCCAACTTACTTTTGGTGCTATCAAATCCAATGGTTGTGCAGCTGTTGTTACCAAGATGCCAGGGACAATAGAAAACTGCACCTTCTTGCGTAATTTCTGACTGGCCTGTTTCAGCCTTGGGTGCCCCGACAAGGATGCTGCCACTGAAAGGAAAAAGAGACAGGAATAAGTAGGGGAAGTCAACCCAGAAACTCACTACAGTAAAGCAAAGCAAACCTCTTCTGTATCTTCTTTTTATTGCAAGATTATTACCAAGAAATTCATCTGCTACTGACAGTGTGGCTCTTCTATGTATTTGGAATTGGAAATTGGATTAGGACAAGGTGGTTCCTACAACCACTTGATCAGGATCTGGCCTGAGCACCTGCTGGACAAGGTAGAGGAATAGAGGTAAGCAGCTCTGCATTTCCCATCCCTTGGCAATTTGATATCCATGCCCCCTTGTATCATTCTAATCAATATCCCTCATTCAATGATTTCTCCCTCCCCCCCTTTTTCCCCAACAAGGGATAAAAATCTGTTCTTGTTGTTAGTTGGGAAGTCATGTCCGACCCATCGTAACCCCATGGACAACATTCCTCCAGGTCTTCCTGTCCTCCACCTCATTCCATGCCGTCCCCTTCTTCTTTTGCCTTCAATCTTTCCCAGCATTAGGCTCTTCTCCAGTGAGCCCTTTCTTCTCATTAGGTGGCCAAACTATTTGATAAAAATCTGAGGAATAAGTAAATAGAAAGATAGCTTTTGTGAGTCATCCTTGAGAAGGTCAAGGTGGGGATTCTGGACATCATCTAATGAGGCAACAAGCTGGGAGCTAGTGGCTGAGATCTCATTCTTCAAGAGGCAATTTAAGGCAGACCATTCTCTCAATACCTTTATCTGACTCTTAGCCAATTCCTTACGAATAGGGATGGCGGCAAAGTAGGCTGGACTATGAGCAAAGTGGCTTACTTTCCAGTTTAATCATAACTCCTGAATGAAGCCACATCTCTAACCCTGCACCCAAACTGAAGCCACTCTAAGCACCAGATCTTCTACCAAGGAATTGGTGGTTTTTTTGGGTTTTTTTAAAAATACACATAAGCACATCAACAGAACACATAAACACATTAACAAAAATAACCACACGACTTAAAAACAACATAGGAACAATAAGTTCCATCGTATATCATACAGCAGTTCCGAATCGGTTTCTTTGCAGTTAGTGTTTTCCCTTCTATACATTTCTATCTTGGGTTCATAATCTCGTTATTCATTATCCATTTTTATATACATTTCTTTATTTATTTATACTTAGCTACTTATGATCAAGTATTGTTTACCTATATTGTGCTTTATATTTTTACTGTCATTTATTCTCTTACATACAGTTATAGGTATACATTCACATAGTTATTCTTTTTCTTTGCCATTCTTATATTATTATTATTCCATTTAAAAGGATATAAGGTATAATTTGGAATGTATTGTTTGCCATCTTTCACACCTGCTATGACACCACCTTATTTTCTCTTTCTTTTCTTTTCTCCCTTCCTTCCTTCTCTACTTCCTTCCTTCCTCCTCTCCTTCCCCTTCTTCCTTCCATTACTTCTCCCCTACTCCTACCCTCTGTCTTCTCCTTCCTACCCTCTCTCCTTCTCTCTTCCTCCCTCCTCTCCTTCTCTTTCTCTCCCTCCCACCCACCTCTCCTTACCTCTTTCTTTTTCCCCTACCTCTCTCACCTTATTTTCTCTGTCTTTTCTTTTCTCCCTCCCTTCCTTCTCTACTTCCTTCCTTCCTCCTCTCCTTCCCCTTCTTCCTTCCCTTACTTCTCCCCTACTTCTCCCCTCTTTCTTCTCCTTCCTACCCTCTCTCCTTTTCTTTTTCTCTCTTTACCAAGGAATTGTTTTAGTGCGATGGTATTATGATCTCTGCTCTGATTTGCTACAGTGTTATCTGCATAGAGCTCCACAGGGATATTTCTTGGCCTCCCTCTTAGTACAGCTTGCAATGTACTTCCCCTAGGTGAGAACTGACAGACAGATCACTTTCTTTTAGAATACTTGCAGATTGGGTAGTATCTTTGGATTGTGTGGGAGGAACAGGTTGTGTAAAATGGAGGCACATTTCACTCCAGTCTCCTTTACTTCTCTATTTCCCTTCAAACTACCCTTTCCACCCCACCCCCCACCCACCCCTCTCTCTCTCTCTCACACACACAATTCCCTGGTGCAGGACAAAGGATCCTTGTGCAGGCAGTCAGGTGTACGGTTCAGCAGCTGCAAGCAGTCAGTGAATCCACCCCTCTTGGGGCCCACAGGCCTGGGAAAGAGCTTAAAATACTCCATAGTGGCCGAGGAAGTCCCATAGTAGGAAAGCAGAGAGGACAGGCAGGATAGTAAGGAGAATCCCTGCCTCGGCAGCCTCCTTCCTGTAAACCTGCCAGATGCATTTGATGCTACAGTTATCTGTGGGAGCTCAAACCATCTCCCGTTTCAATCTCTGTGGGGAGCTGGCAGCCAAATACTAACCAAGGCATATGTTATTGAGAGAAATGTGCAGATTCCCAGCCTGTCTTCAAACTTTGACAGAAAACCTGTCAAACCTCTGAGAACCTTAGGGATGATAAATCTGGGATGAAGAGAAACTGGAATGAGAAGCGGAAACCGAAAAATAGGAGCAAATTCCCCCTTCAAAAACAGTTTCACATCCTTGAGCAAAATATATCAATGATATCAAGCGTAGCTTTACCCACAGAGCAAGCCAAATCTCAGAATAACAGAATTGGAAGGGACCTTGGCGTTCTTCTAGTCCAACCCGCTCCTCAGGCAGGAAGCCCTGTATCCTTTCAGACAAATGGTTGTCCAATCTCTTCTTTAAAACTTCCAGTGTTGGAGCACCTACACCTTCTGGAGACAAGTTGTTCCACCGAGTAATTGCTCTACCTGTCAGCAAAATTTCTCCTTAGTTCTAGGTTGCTTGTCTCTCCTTGATTATTTTCCATCCATTGCCATGTATCTCCATGTAATACACACACTCTCCAACTCAAAATCCATGTAGCAGGATACATGGAAGTGAAGAAAGGGACTCGGGTGCAAACGTTCTGCAGGATTCCTAAATGGAGTTTGATTTCTTCTGCAGTTGTGGTTTGGCTTGCAAACATTAACACCTAGAGAAGTCCTACAGAGTCTGACCCTTAGGCAGAACCACCAGACTGAACCAGATCTCAGAAATCAAGAGCTTCCGCCATTGAAAGGCACAATCAGTAGTTGTGACCATGAAAATGTTTCCAATCTGAACTTAACTTGGGTAAAGAATTTCTCACTCATCGTATAGAGTATAGCAGGAATACCATATCCCAAAGTTTCCTCCCCCAACAATGCTAAAGGTAAGACAAAAACAATCCTTTTCCACAGAATTCAAAATTACTTTTTATCAATCCATTAATAATGGATAAGAATGTCGCTAAAGGCGGTGCTCTAACATAATTCCACTTTTCAGGAAGCCTTTCTTAACAAAGGATTACAGTAATACAGAACATCATGTTTGGACTTGCAATCTATATTAATAATTAAAGTACAAGATCTGGGGGAAGTAAGATAATGAAGCATGCTCTTCTAGATAAGACATCCCAAGTCTGAGCTCTCGCCAGTATCAAAGTAGGAATTAAGATTTAAATTCAGTGCCTACTTTGGAAAAAGTTCAGAGAAGAGCAACTATATGATCAAAGGCCTGGAGACTAAAACATATGAAGAATGGCTGCAGGATTTGGCTTGGCTAGTCTGAAATAAAAAAGGGATGATATGATAACAGTATTCCAGTATTTGAAGGGCTGCCACAAAGAAGAGGGGGTCAAATTATTCTCCAAAGCACCAGAGGGCAGGACAATGGCTGGAAACTAATCAAAGAGAGAAGCAATCTGGAATTAAGGAGAAACTTCCTAACAGTGAGGACAATTAACCAGTGGAACAGCTGGCCTTCAGAAATCATGGGCGCTCCTTCACCGGATGTTTTTTAAGAAGAGTTTAGAGACAGACAGGGATGCAGTGGCTCAGTGGCTAAGATGCTGAGCTTGTCGATCAGAAAGGTCGGCAGTTCAATGGTTCGAATTCCTAGTGCTGTGTAATGGACTGAGCTCCCGTTACTTGTCCCAGCTTCTGCCAACCTAGCAGTTCGAAAGCATGTAAAAATGCAAGTAGAAAAATAGGGACCACCTTTGGTGGGAAGGTAACAGCGTTCTGTGCACCTTTGGCGTTTAGTCATGCCAGCACATGACCACAGAGACGTCTTTGGACAGCGCTGGCTCTTCAGCTTTGAAACGGAAATGAGCACCGCCCCCTAGAGTCGGGAACAACTAGCACATATGTGCGAGGGGAACCATTACCTTAGAGACAGTAACTTATCTAAATTGGTATAGGTTCTCCTGCTTGAGCAGGGGGCTGGACTAGAAGGTCCCTTCCAGCTTGCTCTCTTCTACTCCTAATTTAGCACTGGTACCAGTGTACCAGTTTGACCATACTTCAGAGCACTGAGCATTGACCCAAAGGTAGCTTTGATTTTTTCCTTCTCCAACTCAACCAGACAATGTTAACCTTCCTATAAGTAAACAGTACAACCTGTCATGTCTGAGGTCTTTATCTACTCTCTGTTTGCTGAGCCCGATTCCTGCTCCAGCTAATCTTCTTGGCACCAAGATAGGCTGTGGATACATCAGAATTCATCACTCTCCTGCTTTGGTTCCAGATGGTTCAGGTACACACTACACAGAACAGCTGAGGGTCAAAAGGTAACATCAGCACTGAGGAACAAAGGTCTTCCTTCCTATAAACTACTATGTTATGACAGAAGGTAAACATCCAAGAGATACTGTACGCACACAGTAGAAAGTCAACCATGCATCTCAATAAGCTGGATACAAGGGAAGATGTTATGGATATAATCACATGGAAACCCAATGTAGGAAAAGCAGCTGGATTCCTTAGGAGATGTCACTCTTCTGGATTATAAAATTCACACTGGTCTTCCCTAGAGGGATGGCCCTTAAGATAGAGGAACAATGTTCCGAATTCCCAAGTAGCAGGGTTACTTTCCAAGACTTCTAATACAAACACATCTGGAGGGCAGCAAGTTGGAGATGGTTATTACTCTTCACATCATCTTTGATGGA